TATCGAAGAACATTTTAGAGGTACAGTTGACATTTAAAAAGTTGTAAAAGAAGCTGTATTAATTTAAAATATTATTTTCATTTATATAAGAATTTGTTTAAATATGAGAATTTAAATAAATTTCTTATTTTGTTAGTAATATTTTCTACTTTCATGTTTATGATTATTATTGTATATGACATAATTTGCAAATTGCTAAATTACTATGTCACAATCATCATATTGAGGAGGCAACAAAACCTTTACGCTGTAGAAACGCCACATTCCCCATCATGCCAATTAAAAAGCAGTTATGCGTGCATTCAAATGCGTCGTCACACAGTTAAATTAAATCTCTGCAAAGCGTTACAACGCCGCAGACTAATTTGGTCGATCAAAGCCGTTTAGTACGGTGCTAGACGGTGGTATTGTTCGCTCGACATGATCATGCCTCTCGATCGTCACTCGCTTGATAAAGACGCGATAGATAACTCTCGCATGACAGACGATGTTAAAATGATGAATAAAACGGTATGGTGCGTAGAGCATGCAATCGTTTTACTGTAGCGCAACGGTAAGCCTATTACCGTTCTAAGTAAACAGTCTCGCTAAACCGATTGCGTTGAGAGCGTTTGCTTTCGCACGTTATAGCTATTAGTAGTTTATCGTGCGATAACCGATGGCCGATATCGCTCCGTTGCATGGGGGTTTGATTATTTTCATTGGATGATATTATTCTAATCGAGCACGAGACCCCAGATGCGATCGCTTTCACGGAGAAGTGTTGCTTCGAAAAAAACCTGGGATGCAGCTACTCGGGCGTGATAATGCCGGTCTGTTCCCTCGATGGTCCTTCATGGGAGACACGTGACATGCAATCTAAAATCTACTGATGTCCTTGATGGACTGCGCTTTATCGTACCTTCGTTAGTCTCCCTTGACGTGATAGTGTTCTCGATTTAATAATCGTGATGATAATAGCTTTATTAAAGCTTATTATAAAGTATTAATTTTTTTAATGTTATTATCCAAGTTCTTAACAATTCTGTTCACATAATTTGCATTAAAATAACAACTTTACTCTAATGACTTTTATTACAGAGTAAAATATTTTAATATATATTTAATACATTTAATATATTTAATTTTTATATGACATATCATTCTTATTTTATTTAATTACAAAATGTTTCTTTGTACAATGCAATTTTTAATAAAAAGAATTTATTATTAATTATTATTATTTATATAGAAGACGTTCTTACATCAAATAAATTTACATGAGTAGATTTATATGATTTTTAAAATTATAGATTTTAATATGTCATTCAGCATTATAGTATTAATTATTACGAGCGTTCTAAGATGATTATGAGTATCGAGTTGTTAAATTGCTAGTCAATTTAACTTGTAATATTATTACGGTAGTTCAGTGGAATTTGTGTTTCAATACCGAAAAGTCATTTCAAGGCACAGTTTAAAGGATTACACATACGTAGTATATAAATTTATATACAATGATGCAAGAGAGAGACAGAATGCTTAAGATCCAGCTAAACCGTTTAAAGGCATTTATCTCCTATTGATTGTATATTTATATTGATTGTATATTATATTTTATTAAAATACAATATGACGTCGTTTGACTTCATAAATTCAGAATTTACTGTATATATAAAAGTTTATATAAATTTCTCTTCTTTCTGATTAAATTTGTTCTATGTACTTTACCCCACATTCAATCCTTTTCATTTCTATTTCGATTGCCCGATGGAGACTTACACGATTGCAATATGCGATCTCTTAGATGAAAGTGACTTTTACAAGCAAATCATACCTTTTATAGAAGATGTCGTGCGTATGTCTGGCCTCGATCCTAAAATAATAGTTATTATATATTACTTCTTTTATTGCGTATAAAATACTATTTCAACGCGTTTCCTATTTGCATTTAATCAGTAATTATTTGTATTATTTTGTACAATTAAAAAATAACTTTATATTTCCTAGTTTATAATTTAACAATTCATATGATATTCACACAAATTCTGGAAAGAAGCAATTTAAATATTTTAAGATTGAAGCACCTTTTATCTGTTATTTCTTTTGTTTATTGCGTGTATCAAGTTAGTAATTTTGGGTTTAATATTTAATTACTATAAAACTATCTTTTAAAAACTACTTATCGTCTGAATTAGTTAAAATTATTTTGTATTCGTTAAAAGACATGTCAAGTGTTATTAAAAAACACCGTCATTATACGTTTTTTAAATGTTGATACAAATAAAGTGTACTTTGTTTCCTAACTAGAATGGAACGAATCCAAAATGTATGCATCTTCTTTAATATATGTTTAATAATGTTCCCATGTCATATCCATTCATGCCAGAAGTTATTTAGGGGATGTGGTCGTAGGGGACGTATTTAGATCTTCTTGCCGATATTCATTATCTGGAGCGGCGTATAAAGTTGGGTCAACGTGCCCTTACAGATATATTTCGAGGGTAAGATAAAACAGCGGTTTTTCTAATCTATTATAGAAACTATACGTAAGATTTTAGAAACTTTTCAGAAATTTATCTCACATAATATAATGTGAAATAATAAATTTAGCATATGCAAGATTTGCATAATATTCTATAATGATACATATATTCAATAACGATTTTAAGTTTGTTGACTTAAGTGCTTTTTGATTTTTTGCGATTATATTCAAATAGGATCATAACACGAAAATTAGTATATTATGTATCTATGTGCGCTTGTACAAGTACGAGTTTGTTACTCGTGTTTAGTCTCATGATTTCGAATTATTAGCTCAGTTCGCGAACTAATTCGATAAAGTCCTAATTACGTTCTAATGAGTAACATCCGCCTAACTGCATTGGGTAAATATCTAGACATCCATTGCCAACTTAGAATACATGTGCATGTCATCTAATATGATGTCATTCGTGGAATCCTATCTATACCAGTTGTGCGAAACACGTGCGAGTGATATCACAAACACAGAGTACGCTAAAGAATTTCGTATATTAACATATTTCTTCTTAATTTTAAATTCTTTGAAAAGTTTAGATATTTTCTTTTATTAACACACACACACACACACACACACACACACACACACACACACACACACACACACTTGCGCGTGCGCGCGCACACACATTTTATAAAATAACTAAATCACATTCTTAATATTGTATATTTAATATTTAAGATGTAAAAATTTAAAAATTTAAAAAGTAGTTATTTAAATTCTGTTTGCTAATCCAAAATGTATTTTAATATATACCTATTTTGAGAATTTATAAAAAAAATTATTGTTAAAATTAAATAATTGTTACAAATAAAGAACTCTTATTTAGTTTTGTTTTAATATAAATTTACTTTAAAAATTGTAAAGATACTTAATCCTGAGAGAAAATGAATAGTACTAACATATTCTGTATACTGTAATAAATACCTATTACTGCGCAGTGTATCTTCCACAAGTAGATAATTAAGCCAATCATTAATCATCGTCTGTCTACGAACTCACTAGAACAGAACCTCGCGCAAATGCATGCATACATGTGTTAATTTGATACAGTCGTAATTTACGGAAATATGTATGTACACTGTGTTTTCGAAACAAAGGGAAAAAGATGTAATCAAATTATTGTAACATATCTAGATGATTTTTAAAAATTTAATCAGAAAAATTGGAAAATGAGTATCATATCGTATGGTAAACAGGACGTTTTTAAAAATCGATTATTTTAATTTTTATTAATTTTTTAATAATACGAAAATCTAGGTATAGTCATGATATTTCTGATCAAGTGACATAACACCGTTCAATTAACCTTGCTAAGTTAGATAGAGAAACGAGGAACATGGCAGAGGGAGATGTCGATGACGAAGGGAAAGAACATAGAGCATGAACGAGAAAGGTCTTAACGTGTCTCCGTTCGCAATCCGTCGACTAGCTCTTAGGGGTGTCGCCAATTCGGAGGGTAGATCCGCGGTCGGTGTTAGGGGAGACTCGATATAAAGGAGGGTTCCGATATAAAGGATTCTTTGGGAACGGGTCTCAAGATTCGATCACAGGGCTTTGTCAAGTTGGCGATTCGACGCAACGGTTGCCAGACAGTGGCCGTTTTGGACATTTTCTCAAGCTCCACTCTTAACGATTCATCGGGTGGATCCTGAACGCATCCCTTGAGAATTTGCTTGCGGCTTTGCCTTGACTGATTATATTGTCGATGTTGAATGTTATTAAAAGATAATTTGGACTGACAGAAATGTCATTCCTTGTGGGCATCGTGTTTGCTGCTTTGATCCAATTTCGAGATTTCCCTACTGACTTGATTTCCCTGACCTTTGTTTTAATTACTTACAATTTTAACAATGCATGAGCAAATGATATGTAATCTCAGCAACATTATTAACATTTATATCTAAATTAAAACTTATTTAAATTTCTTTTGACGTAATATCATATTGTAATATGTTACTTGACTTTTTTAAAAAGACTTTTTTACATAACTATATTTATCACACAACTTAAAACTCATACAAAATTTAAGAAATATATTTTATTTTTTCAATTCTTTTGATAAACCATTAGGTATATATTAAAATATTTATAAGGTTAAATTATTATATAGATGTACATTTAAATCTTTAATATATCTTTTAATATTTGTATAAAGATAACAAGAAGTTATTGGATTTGTAAATGTACATTTTCTATATGATATTACATATGTATTAGTTCTTATTTTTATTTTTATAATAAATAATTATTAATGTTTTATATTACATTAATGTCTTGTTTTATCTCTGCATACGAAAAATATTAGATGATTTTGTGCGAGTGAACAATAAAAAATTAGCATCTGACAACTCTATATTTATTTGTCATGGACAGATCACTTTTTGTCATATTCAAGGGAAAACTCTTTGCTAATACCATTTGATTTATTGCTCAAAGCTTGCAGGAAATAAAACATTTTTATGTTTCGCTATTACAGAAGCGCGAGAGGTCGCCGGGAAAAAGAATGGATCGGCTTCGACGAAGCTTCCGAGATAGCTTCCGGCGGCGGAAAGATCCTCATGTGCCCGAGTCTAGTAAACCTCATCAATGGCAAGCGGATGAAAGTGCAGTGCGTTCAGCTACATGCGCTTTTCATGTTAAGGTAAAAGTTAATAACAACATCGAGTGTGTGTACCAATTATAGTGATTATCTCTAATCAGTATTAGAATTATGATAATTTATTAAAAAGATGGATTTATTAAAATGGATTAAGAATTAATTGGCATTTGTTTATTTACTCGGCATTATGGCTGATATTTTAGTTATTTAATATTCTCTGCTTTAGAAATATACTATATATAAATGATTAATTAATTAATTCTCAGATTGATATAGTCAGAAATCATTATTTACATAAAATTACTTATAATTACTTAAAATAATTAAAATTTTTATTAATTTAATTTCTTTTTTAAGAATGTATAATTTTATAGTAATTCTTTATAGTTTATATTAATTTGCTACATTAATATTAAACATTAATTTTCCTAAATAAAAATCTTACAAATTATACTTTAATCTTAAAAATATTCTACTTTAATAAATAAATAATTTAATTGATTTTTTTGACAGTATCTAGGATGTGTAGAAGTCTTTGAATCGAGGGGTATGCAAGTTTGCGAGGAGGCCCTTAAAGTTCTCCGTGTAAGTATTTTATATAAAATAATTCTGTTGAAATTAATATGATTTGTTTGTGGATTAGTTAAAAGCATTAACTTTTATAATTATCTATCTACATCACGCGAGCATATGATCATTCGTCATACACAGTTTATTTAGTACATTTTTTATGTATATAAGAATAAATAATTTCTAAAAGTAACTGAACCATTCTTTTATAAGATACTTTCCATTTCCAATATTCAAGGAGCTCTGTAGAAAGTTTTATAAGCCTTGCGAAAGTCAAGCGTGTCACATTCTCTGAATCTTTCGCCTCGACTATATTTAGCACGGCTTACATATAAAGAGTCGACATTGATACCAAAGCGACCTGAAAATAAATCGGTGTAAAGGTCAAAGGGCAACTTCGGACGACCGAGTTAATTCGTGACTGAATTTTCAGAACTCAAGAAGAAGACCAGTACGGGCGATACTTCACGTATCCGGTGACGGATTGCGTGTTGTCGAGGATGAAACGAAAGGGTTGATTGTCGATCAGACAATCGAAAAGGTGTCGTTCTGTGCGCCGGATAGGAATCATGAGAAGGGATTTAGTTACATTTGTAGGGATGGCACGACAAGGCGATGGATGTGTCATGGATTTTTAGCATTAAAGGAATCGGTAAGTCAGATACCATTTCATTCCATTCGAATAGAAAATTATCCTCGATATACAAGGGATGCTATATACTCTGTCGATAACGGGTGTTCATTGATTCGAATTGCGATGAACGAATATATATAGCATCAGACGGTACGGTGATGATAACATAAAGTATGTGTATATGATAACCCATTATGTAAATAGCTATTGAAATATAAAATATATATTTTAATTTTAATACGTCCCTAATTGCTGATAGATTTATTGATAATTACTATTTTATGTAATTGAAAGTTTTTATAAAAATTGTAAAATATGTTCTATTTTTACATATTGCTATTAAGATTTGCATATATCTTCCTGTTTATAATAGAATATGTATATTTTAGCTATGTTTTGATTAAAAATATAAATAACATATTAGTTTTTAAAACACTATTACGTGGATATTGAGAGTATTTTTCTCATGGTTTTATAATTGCGAATGTACACAACATCAGATAGTATATGGTATAATAACGATATAAGAATCCAATATGTAATTAAATCTCAATGTGTTCTTAATTACTAATAGATCTATTAAAAATACATTAATGTGATATTCTGTGTAATTGGAAATTTTGTAAAATTGTAATTCATTGTAATACGTCCCAGTCAACCAAGTCTATCAAAAACAAATTTTATTAAATGCTTGCTATAAATATCGACAAAAGGCATCAAATTTAATGCGAATTCTATTATATTTAATAATCAGCAAATTGCAGATATCTGTTAATATGAAAATAAATTGATAAAACTTTGTAAAGCTGACAACCTGACAACAAGAATCGATCAAAATCAGCTAAAGTTTTGCTCGATTGTTACTGTCAATTTTCTGTCTAATATGTAGGCTTTGCTAGCAAAATAACTAATTATCGCTGGCAGCGAATTTGTCATCAGCTCTGAATCGATCAGCTTAACTCAGTCAACTCGGCAATAATTTATTATTAATTTATTTATTAGGATATCATATATTGCTGTCAAAATTTATATATATCTTTCTGTTTACCATATAACATGCATATTTTAAATCTTGGTTTACCTTGTTTTGTTTAAAAATATAAATAGCCATAATTAGTTTTTAAAAGACTCTCACATGAGGATAATGAAGGCATTTCTTAATGGACTTATTCTTTATCATCAAGGGAGAAAGATTGAGTCATGCGGTAGGCTGCGCCTTTGCTGCATGCCTGGAGAGGAAGCAACGAAGAGACAAAGAATGCGGAGTTACAATGACTTTCGATTCGAAGACTTCCATCTTCACGAGAAGTGGCAGCTTTAGGCAACCGAATCTCGCGGAGCGGTTGCAAGAAGCGCGTGATCGTGCAGCAGGTGAGTTACATAAATTTTTAAAAGTCATCTGTTGTGTTGGCTGCTTTATAAATAAAGTTATAGACAAATTAAAAAAAAAAAGAATAGTTTAAAGTTCTGTAGGCCTTCTTCTTCTTCTTTTATGACTCAACGATCTTGGACGCGTTTCGAATTACGCACAAAGCGTATGACGCATTATCTGTCTTTGTTGTTTACTAAAGAATAAAGAATAAAGAAAAAAACATGATACCTCATGCGCTTCATGCGTAATTCGAAATGCACCCACTATACATTACAAAAGTGTGAAGTGCTGGACTTTTTGTACGCATGAAGTTCAGTATTGTCTAAAACTTAGTTCGTGAGTTAAACTAATGCTTTCTTCATCATCAGTCTCATTGAGCAAAACAGAGAGAAAACAATAAGAATAAATGGTAGAGCTTTGTTCAGCGATTGCTTTAACGTCTATCCTTTTTTTTCGTCTCGTTCAAACGATGAAAAGGTGGGAGCGTTTAACTCACGAAGTAAGTTTTAGTCAGATTTATTGGCAGTGAACAACTTTTTGGGAGAACGGTAATGGCTCGTTTATACGATTTGAATAATTACCTGTACGTGATTAATGTAATGCAGATCATTTTGTTCACTTATTTAATGATATAAAAAATTTTCGGATAAATTAAAACTAAATATATTTTCAATGTTTCAAATGTTTTAAATATTTTGCTCTTAATATGTCGTATTATCTTTTTATAGATCATAAAAAGATGTTGTTTATTGGCAATATATTTTTTTTCTGTATTTCAATACTTATGTAAAATATTTATGTTTCAGAAATTCCTCCGGTTAGGCAAGTGTACAATCCCTTTGCAATTGAGAGGCCGCACGCTACTCTGTCTATGCTGGAACGGCAAGGTTCCTTCCGAGGTTTTTCACAGCTAAGTCAAGCATCCCCATTTAAAAGGCAACTCAGTCTACGAGTCAACGATCTTCCTAGTACTCTTGAACGCACACGTAGTCACAGTCTTGAGCCAACGGATTTGGCGCGAATGCCTTCAGCTCATTCGCATATTGTACCTTCGAAGCCTCCAGGTGAGCGTTCACGTCATTGAAACATCTCATTTCCATTTTATTTAGAATTTTATTAAATTAAGCTTTAACGAGTGAGAGAATACGCTACAACATATGATACGCACAAGTACGCCGATTATGTGCTATTAATTTAAATCAATCTGACCAATAAATAACGATGTATTTCTTTGTCTTACAACAGAATTCGAAGGATATGACGAAGGTCATTACTCCTTATTCTGTTCTTTATTGTTGCTTGCTCATCGATGTATCCTTGAACATACTCGTTTTCCATGCACACGGTTCATTGTATAATTAAATTAACAGACATATGGTAAACTAGTATCACGACACTATACGAGTGTGTAGTTAGAACCCTTGTAATTTGAATTCGCCTCTCGTGTATTTATTTTGTTTGTGCTTGAAATAATATTCAACTTACATCGTATGTTCATCGTTCTATATACTCTCACTTTATAATATATAACCCAACATACATACATTTAGGCGTCCTATAGCATGCTTGTAGAATGCGTCCTAGCACCCATGTCACAAAATTTGAGATACCCTAAATATATTAATAAACGTCATATCTTCTGTTTATATTCGCAGTGAGTCCAATACCAGAAATATTTCCTGGTGATCACGATAGCGTTTCCGCGATGTGTCAGCAGCTTTCTCAAGGACTTTCTCTGCTTTCGAGCAGCGATGACTTCGGACCATTGCCGTTGTCTCAATCTGCCGCGAGCTCCGTAGTTAAGCAGCTTTTTACTAGTACCACTACTAATTCCCCTCCAGGTATGACTTTTTAATAAAATTGTGAGAGTTATTTCATTCTTTATCTCAATAATCTCATGCAGACGACGTTTTCTAGAGATCATACGCATTGTAATTTTTATCAATAAATTATCATTCTGTTTTAGTAACGAGTAGCAACTCGTTGGATGAGATGAAACTGCAGAATGGTCCGAATATTAATAACAACGATAACAACGACAAGAATGAAGAGCTCAGTAATCTGAATCATGTAGCGCCCAGTTGGCAAGAGTCCGCATCCCCCGTTCTCGCGTCGAATCACAGGCTCACGCCCATCCTTAAGGCGAGCAACTTGAGTCCCGTTCTTCCAAGGACGAACGCGCCCACTCCAGTCGTTATGAGCACACCGGCACCTGTTTCCTCTAGTGTAGGTGCCTTCGGCACGCCGCCATCGGCAGCAAGTCCTGCTTTCAGCACGGCTTCTACGTCCTCTTTAGGAAATACATCTACGCCGGCTGTGAACAGATCGCCGATTCCAATAAATTCCGTGATGACGCCAAAAACAAGTTCTCCTAGTACTAGCGTAGCATCCGTTTCCCCGGCGGCTCTCTCAACTGATGTCGCTCAAGTCTCATCGGCAACTGGACTCCCGACGGCTTTAGTAAGTTAAACACTTACTATATACATAAATAAGATTTTTATTTAAGCAAATAATAAATTTTTAATTGTATTCAATTTATGTTAACAAGATTAAGTAAGAATCAAATGCTGTAATATATAAACTTTTTAC